GTGCTCAAGGCTACTCGGAATCTGTCAACATGGGCAATCGGTCCGGTCAGGCAGCATTACGACGAGGCTCAACTATCTACACCGTTTGTGTGACGACCTTGCGATGGATCTCCGGGTGCAGAAATATTCGCCCATGTCTCGCTGTCGGAAACCCGGGATCATTTCTATGGAGGCTGATGAAGCCCATTACCCGGTTTGGGTAACGAAGGACAACAGCAAACCTTGTGTGCAAGTTCATCTCATCCATGAGACGACCCTTTCGCCTAACTTCCAGCCGTTCGAGAGCCTTGTCAGCAGCGGAGGATACGATCTATCGTCCTATGAAAGAGACGCCAAGCGGCCTAGGAAGGCATCGTCGGTCTTGACCCTGCGCAAATATTCTCCAAGACCACATATGGATCCGTACTTTGGAAGCACCAGGCTGCAAGCGACATCACTTGGCAAAAGTTGCCAAAAACGAGAGCTTCGTATCTACTCAACAACGAAGCCTCGGCTGACACATTTTGTTCAGCTACACTCAGCCCAACATCATTCCCAGCTCTGGAATCCTCATTTCTCTGAAATCTTTTCTTTCACGCATCATGAGCAAGGATGTCTCGCGAACCAACAGGACAAAGCCCTCCAAAAACCAGGTTTGGCCCGATGACCATAGCCAACCCGGATCCTCCGCCAATAGGCGATCGCTCTCTTCGTTGCTAGATTGGAGAAAACAGAGAAGGCAGGGAAAACTTGCTGGCACTCCCGCTAGTGCTGCGCCCCGCACGTGTTGTGTGTGCGCGCTCGTTCGTCCAATCCGAGGGGCCATGGCCTCTTTTCTTCATTGATGTTGCTCTGATCTTGGATTAAGGTAGGCTTGGCACTGATGGGAGAACATCCAAATCTGACATATACCCTTTTAAACCTTCATATGTCTCCGAAAGAGGGGCAAAAAGGGTTGTCACGTTCCATTCCTGTGGGATCCGCGATATAAGGTCGCCAATCATCAGCCAGGCTTAAATTTAGAAAAGTCTGGGGAAGGAAGGAAGGCAGCGAAGCTGCGGGAACAACGCCTCTCATCGGGCGTACGGCGCTAGCGTCTAGCAAGCGCGTCAGCGCGGCAATCGAGATACCCGGGTTCGCGGTGCTTCCGACTGCGGTAATATTTTGGACAACAGAGAGCTTTCTGGCTGGTCTGTAGGAAAGCAGCTAGCTAGTTGGCATACCCGGGGGCGGAGAAGCTCTTGGCAAGCTGGGACGAGCTGCTGGCTTTCCCGCCTCAGCCCGGAGCCGGAGGGATCAACAGCAGCTAGCTACGGATTATCTGAGCACACCTCTTCTTCCCTCCGTCGACAACAAAGCGTCAGATCTCAGTAAGGCTGGGAGGTGGAGACCAAACTTCGTTAGCCTGCCTACCTCCCGAACCCGTCGGGGAGGCGCTGACCGTGCTACGGACATGCATGCTAACGTCGACAGATTGCTGTGGGCTGAGCTACCTTTGCTGTCGGAGGCGGGAGAGGCTTGGGTCGTTGAGATTGTCATGTTACCCGAATATCCGGGCCTTCTCGAGAGGTCGGGAGTGGGAACTCTGCCACGATGTCTCTCGGGATGGCAGCTGTGCGCGGTGGTGCTGATGAGTGAGGGGGATGGGGACACAGCCCGAACGCCCAGCTGGACGTCATCCTTCTGGCTAGCTGTCTAGCTACATGGCGATGGAAGCAGAAGAAAGCTGTCATGGAATACGAGGGCTGTAAATCTATAAAGGAGAAAGACATCCATGTCAACAGTCCATCTGCTTCTCTCATCATCAGCAACAACAACAACAACAACTTCCACAACACTCCAATCCAATACTCAACACTTCCAAGTTCCTCTACCAACACTCTCCATCATCACTTCAACCCCCCAAACCACCCAACCGCCAAAATGCAGCTCACCAACATCCTCATCGCCGCCCTGGCCGCCGGCTCTGCCACCGCCGCCTCCGTCTCCTCCCGCGCCGCCCGCCTCGCCGCCCGCCAGACCGGTGCGCCCTGCGAGCGCATCGGCGCCAACGACGCCAACTTCGGCGTCGCCGACCTCTCCTCGGGCGTCGTCGTCAAGAAGGTCCTTTCCTTCGCCGTCGGGCCCTCCGCCTCGGGCCCCTGCTCTCTGATCGGCCAGTTCAACGCCGGCTTCCCCATCGACCTCGGCGGCGCCGAGTTCTCGCGCCTTGATGTCCGCGATGTCGCCACCGGCGCGCTCGTCGGCTCGTTCCCCCCGCTCAAGGTCGAGCACAACGTCGTCGTCGAGGACACGTTCGTCACGATCAACAGCTTCACCTGCGCTGACAACGTGGCGTTTGAGTTTGCGATCGCGAATGATGGTGACGCGGACGTTGATATCAATGTTACCTTTACGGCGTCTGAGCAGGGCGGCTTCTTCATCAAGAAGGGTGACCAGTGCCCCATCTAAGTCTTCGGGGACGTGACTCTTCGGGAATGGTGGGAAGGTATGATGGGTTTGGCTTGGGATACTGCATATAACGGCGTTTGGTTTCGATTTGCATAGATGGCGGGACGGGAATTTGGGACTTTGGACATATTTGCATTATCTTTCTTACTGGTACATCTACCAATTAACATATTTCATTCCATGCTCATACACTCATTTCCAACTTCATTAGTGACAAATGTTCGCGTGTCATATACTCAGCATTATTGGAGAAGAACTCCATATCAAGATATAGTGGCCGAATTATCAGCGCAGTCAAAGACCTTCGTGATCAAGCCCGACGCATATGCGTCCTTAATGGATACGGCCACGCTATAACTACAGATCCATGTCAGTCTCTTGCCTTCTCCAAAGGTATATGGGGCAGACTTACGTTCCGGCGATGACCATAAAGAAGCCGACCAGGACAATGAGGATGTGGAAGCCATATGCGCCCTTCTGCCTCATGCTGCCGCTCTTATAGCTCGAAAAGTCCTGCATCCACAGAAGGGCGGGAAAGACGAGACTGAACGGCGCAAAGCAGATGGCACCCGCCAGGCCCAGGAGGTAGTTGAGAATCGGCACCGCCTCGGCAACGATGAAGGCCAGAATTCCAAGCACCAGATTGCTCCCTATCCACGTCGACCAGTGAACGAGAGTGTTCTCCTGCAGGTGGTGCGAGTCTCTTAGCACCCGCACGAAGATGTACTTGGCCGCGACGTGCTGGTAGATACCGACACCAATGATAAGCCCCGGCAGGCCGATGCCGTACGAGATCTTCTTGAACAGCGGGCCCGCGCTGCCGAACGCCGGCGTCGCCAGCCACACGCCGCACCAGCGGTAGATCACAAGCGAGAAAGACAAATACATGGCCAGCACCAACCCACCCGTGACCAGCGCCGCGCGGCGGTAGTCCTGCGGCCGTCGCATCTCGGAGATGACGGGCAGGTACATGGACGACCCGCTGTTGCTGATGAAGATGTTCGCGCTGGCGGTGATGCCCGCGACGAAGGTGGGGTGCGCGACGGCGGTCCAGCCGAGCTCGAAGGGGCCGGTCTGCGGGGCGACGGCGGGGCGGTCCTGCTTTGTGACGGCGACGACGAAGACGAAGACGGCGACGAAGAAGGTGGTGAAGCCGAGCCAGGTCAGCCAGCCGAGCTTGCTGAAGGTGCGGACGGAGGAGAAGGCGGTGATGAGGATGGCGCCGAGGAGGGTGAAGACGACGGTGCAGGCGCCGTGGGAGGAGACGGCGTTGAAGGCGGTGGAGATGGAGACGATGCCTGCGGCGGAGATGAGGACCTGCGCGATCAGGATTTGGAGGCCGACCAGCTCGCGGCCGGGGCGGGACCAGAGGCGGCCGCACATGTCGGCGAGGGCTGGAAGGAAAGATGTTAGAGAGGAAGAGGGGATAGTCGGACTGGGAGTTTACTGTGGCATTCGGGATGTCGATTGCGGAATTCTCCCAAGATGACGGCCGTATCTGGATTCTTGGTGTTAGCGATTCGAAGAGATAATCGTTTTACAGAAGAGCCGTCATACATGTGTTGAGGGCGTGCCATCCAACAAGAGACACGGCACCCGGAACAGCTCCTAGTGTCGCAAAGGCTCCAGGAACACTCAGAATGCTCATCGCGAACTGGATCTTGCAGAAGATGATAGTGGCCCTCTGCCAGCTGACTGTCCGAAACTGGACGCCATCCTCGGTCTGTCTGAAGACATCATGAGTCTCCTCGATCTCGCCCTTCGTCGAAGCGACGTCGGCCTGGCCGTCAGACACGTGAGGGCTGACTTTGTCGTCGGTTACGGGAGACGCCATGATGTTCTGCTTTCGAGAGCGAAACACGCGGAAAAGGGGGGGTTGGTCTTCACCGCAGTGTGTCGCAATAAGCTTTCTCTGGGGAAGTCCCCCCAAAAAGGGCAGTGGGTCGGGGGTTTGTTTTTATATACAAAAGAAGCCGGCCAATATGTCGAGAGTTGCATTCTGGTCAATTGCTTTTTTATCCCGGGGTCGGAGATAAGCTTCGAGTTAAAGGGTCCAAAACTTGCCTCTGACCAAAGGCTGGGAGCCGAATGTAACGATATGGGAATTTGAAGCTCGGCATGGTAGCTTATCTCTTTTTGGAGCTCTAGTTCCCTAGCTTGGCCGATAAGAACTGCCGATTTGGAGGATTGTCGAGTTAGGTGTTTGGATTTGTGAGGAGTCCACGATATGATAAGCTAGATCGTTACCAGGGGGTGTAGCCGCTGATAGCGGATAATACACTCTTGCTCGGGTAACGGCAACGGCGAAGCGTGTCTTGACTCTAGAGCCGCATGGTGAATCACATTCCGCGACGAATAATGGTCCTAACGCGACTTGAATGCTTCATGGCGTAAGCAGTTCATAATTAGGACGTTCCAAGTCTTGTTGCGGTTGTGCATGTTTTGGAGTTGGCCGGTATGTCTAACTACGTCTGGACAGAAGGGTAGAGACAAAATTATTTCGACAATCAGCTCCGCAAGCTTCTCCAAATCAAGTTCAACCTATCCTCCGAGCTGTTCTAATCATCCCTTCAGTTTAATGGCTGGAATTGGCCCCAGTTGATGTCAACATCTGACGAATCCGAATCCGCGGAGGATGGGCAAGAACTAAGCGTTTCGGCATCGCCAACTAAAACGTCGTCATGAGCAGGAATCTGGTGCGAGGCAGACTCTGCGGATAACCCGAACAGCAGAAGAGTTCTCTGCTGTTGTGCCAATCGCCATCCCCATCTTGTACTAAATATGGGCAACATGTACATCCGGCCGTGGCGAGACCTCCTCATACGCGAAGGTGGCCTGGTGGCCAAATCGAGAGGTGTGTTGCCATTTCTATCTCGAGCATTGCGGTCCGCCCCTGCTTCTAGAAGGCATTGGATTATATCGAGGTGCGTTTTCCTCACAGCAACATGTAAGGCTGTTTTCCCCTGGTCGTCTCGCAAATCAACGAAAGCCCCATTGCTGATCAGTAGCTTGACCGTTGATTCGTGACCGCCTGCTGCACTTTTCTTCAGTGAACTAACGCCACAATCGTCTTGGGCATTAATCGGGGCCCCGTGGTCAATTAAAAACTTGACCATTGAGTCGTAACCGTCTGCTGCACTTTTCATCAGTGGACTGAAACCTCGCTCATCTCGGGCGTCAATTAGAGCCCCGTGATCGATGAGAAGCTTGACCGTCGATTCGAAACCACCTGCTGCACTTTTCATCAGTGAACTTTGACCCCGCTTGTCTTGGGCGTCAACCAGAGCCCCGTGGTCGATTAGAAGCTTGCAAATCCGATTCATACCCTTTTTGGAGGCCACCATGAGGGCCGAATTGCGACCAGAACGCCTCATGTTGGGGTCAGCGCCATGAGACAGTAGTAATGAAACTATCTCGCAAGCGGCACACATGGGCCCTTGAAGGCTGCTTGCGCATGTGTTCCTACAGCCTTCTGTTCTGGCTGCGGAAACAGCAATCATCAAGGGATTGTGGGATTCGGCATTAATGTCGACTTTCCCAGTATTAAGCAAAGCCTTGACTTTTCGCAGGTTGCCACTTTCGGCAGAACAAGCAATCGGCGAAGGTTCGGAATGCTTAGGCCCTTCAGGGAGGTTAGGGTTCAGGCCAAGGTCGGTCGCAAGATATTCTAGGACATCGTCGGCTCCGTTCGTCTTTGCCGCCCACCAAATAGGTGTCCTATTGTCTTTGTCGGGCGTGGATGGGTTTACTGTCCCGACTGCTTGAATGGCCTTCACTTGAGGTAAGACCGATTCGCCCGGTGCGTTCGCGATGTTGTGAATCGCCAAGGTAAAGGCAGTGTTTCCCTCGGTATCTGTGTAATCCGGGTCCATGAACCTGACTGCAACTTGCGTCAAGTCAGAATATCTCTGAGCCAAAGCGGCTTTGAGAAACCTCCACTTCTGAGCCTCCGTCATTTGTGGAAGTGTACGACTATCGTCAAGGAGCATGTTTGCAATCCCCTCGTGTCGATATCGAGTAGCATAATGCAACGCATCTGACCACTCGTTCTCTACGTTTGGTCGTAGTCTGGGATCTTTAAGAAAGGCCCGTACTGTAGACTCATGGCCTACTATTGAGCTCATCATTAACGGCGTTTGTCCGCCTTGAAGACCGTTCAGAGAGAAGTCGTCAAAGTCTTCGTCGCCTTTCTGAGATAAGAGGAAACGAACAACCGCAGCGCGACCCTCTATTGCTGCCCACCATAACACTGTTCTTCCAAATCTATCCAAGTCATATTGAGCCGAACTTTCGTTATGACTTATTCTTCGAACCACAGCCTCGAGGCCACACGCTGCAGCGACGATGAGGGGCGTGAATCTCGGTGCGACGACGTACCGTTTGCAGAAGGCTATGGACTCATCGCTCGGCAAGTAAGCATGGTGAGGTGGCGGCTCCAGTACGGTCTTCCAACACCCCGAAGTGTAAAAGTATCTCGTGGAAAGAAAGGTCAGAAACCAGGACTCAAGGCTGTCTTCTTCTTGGCACCATTGGCACAACTTAACGGCCAGGTCATTGATTGTGTCTTCCAAGCCGAATCTAGCTTCTTGGAAGTGCTCATGCCAGTACGTTGCTGCGTAACGGAAAAATGAATAATGCAATTCCACATGCTCCTCCACATTTTCTCGTGTCTCGCGAGGGTCAGTGTATCTCAGTGCAAGATACCCCGTGCAAATTTTGGCGAATATTGCATGCGAATCTTCTAGAAAAAACGCATGCTTCCAGGTGAATTTTGCTGCTGTCGGGGTGTTGTTGGGGGCTGTGAGGTACTCGGATGCAACTTGACTGTTATGCAAGTTGACTAGGAACTCTTTCGCAGTCTGATGAAGAAAGTAGACTTTGCCCTCCACAACAGTGACGAACAGCCCACACGTTGCCCTCAAAGTGTCTCTGAAGCGCTCAGAATGCTCCATCTGAATTTCTGAGTAAATCTGATGGCTTTCGGACATTGCTAGAGCGACAGAGATTTCTTGTAAAGTTAATGGTCGTGCCGCAGAAATTACAATATGAAGTAACTTGCGAGCTTTCTCCACATCGAGACTCCGATTGAGAATGTTCTCATAGAGTTTATCAAGACTCTCCGGTATAGTTCTGAGGGCGTCCTTGACGCTATCCTCAGTGAACGAGAGGATATTCTCGATAACGTCCAAGGCCACCTTCACCCACAAATACGTGCGGTTTTCGGTCTTCATGAATTGCTCTTCTAGAAACTCAGTTTCCCATCCTTCTAAGGAGAGAGTCTCGGAGATATCATGAATCCGACTTTTGGCGAAAACATCAATTTCTTGGGCAATCTTGGTGACCTGCGTGTCGTCCTCCCCTCTCAAGTGAATTGTTGGCCAGCTGTTTTCAAGCCGACGAAAGCCCCTTTGAATCTGCAGGTATGGCCTTGAAGTTAAAATGAACTTCAACGGATGCTCCAGAGTCGTAGAATTATTGTACAACTTGCTCAGAGCAGTAATGAGTTGTTGACGGTCACCCTCCTGGCACTCGTCCAACGCATCTATCAAACAGATAATCTGAGTTGAACTCTGTGCCGCCACTTTGATGAGCATCTCAAAGAGACTAGAAAACGACTCAGTAAGCGTTTTGCCATCACTTCGAAATTGAGCGATGATTGACGTGCTGAGTAGTTGCGGTTGCTGTATAAAAAGCTGACGAAGCAAAGCACAGAGAGCGGCCACTGCCGTTTTCTGATCCGAAAAGTTTTCCTTGAAGAAGAAGTAGCAAGTCGTCTGAGCCAAGTTGCTGATCAGGATGTTGTCTACCAAGTACTTGGCGAGGACAGATTTACCGCAACCAGGATCTGCGGATACCCAAAGCAACTTAGACTCTAGCGATTCTTTCCAGTCCAGGAAATAAGGATGTTTAATAAACCACTCGCAGGTCCCGTCCACTCGCTCAGGGTTGATGTCTTTTCTATCTAGATACGGACATGTGTAGAGGAGTTTGAGACATCCGGCTCGTTGATCCTGGAGACGAGCTGCCTCCTTGATGTCGGGATGTTTATAACTTTGGTCTGAAAGGAGATATGAGTCCTTCAGTAGGCCGCCCTTTATGCGCTCGATTTGTTCTTTATCTAGATGCGGGTCGCTGAGCTTCAGATCGATGAGAAACTGTCTGTCTTTGTCGCCAGGGTCGTTTGCTGCATGATCTTTGCACTTTATCAGCGAAGTTTGTTTCGGGGAAGGATGGGCAAACTTACGTATCGTGATATTCTCCGCGTTGTACTGGCAGCCACCCCCCACATTGTTGTACTGTTTGCCCGAACTGGTGTTGTTAAGGTTCATTCTCGTAGTGTCCCACGAGGCGTATCGTGAGCTGCGTCGCGTTGATTAGTTTACAGTTCCTGTTATACTCTGGTGTGTTGAATGGTCTTTGCCCGGATTTGGCAAGAGGGCTGCGGAGAGGGCATCAAGTTCCTCTGGTCAGATAATCTGGGAAGCGTGCGCAGCCTGATCGGGCGGGGAAGAAAGTGGGAAAGAAGACATATGATGGTGTTGGGCGTTTTTGGTTCATCAGACAGTAGACTTGATTGGAGCACTGCCTCAAAGCACGCCAATCAAGGCTGCCTCCGGGTGTGACGGGCGATGACTGGCTGACATGCATATATCTTGGCTATGCGGGGCTGGTCTCCCTGTAGCCTTAAGGGTCTCTGTCCTCGTCCTGCCGTCGTCTCCGGCAGTTTCCATGATCATTCCCTCTTGCTACAATACCTTACGCTCACGATTAAAAGCCTCAAGTCGTTCGAAGCCCACCACAAAAAAAGAAAGAAAAAAAAAGGGAAGAAAAAAAGAAAAAGAAAAAGGGGGCGGAACACTGAGTCGCCAAGTAAAACAAGGCCGGAGCAACATAGAAGCTCAAGAAGACCCAGCAGCCGGAAAAGACCTATGAAAGTCCTGACGCCGAGTTTGGGCTACGAATCGCACAGCCCCTATCAGCCTTCGCGATCGCATCAGAAGTGTGGCGAGACTCAACGCGATTGCAGTACCCAAACAACGCTATTTACATTACGTTCTCTGTTACCTAATTGTGATATCCTCACTCCTTGTGTTGGTCACCATGACAACCTACACTCGTCCTCAACACCGCGATGATTTCGAAATCGCAGTGGTCTGCGCGCTTCCCCTGGAAAGTGACGCAGTCTCCCTGATATTGGACGAATTCTGGGATGGTGAAGCCGGAAATGGACTCGGCCGGGCAGCCGGGGATCAGAACAGCTACAGCAACGGCCGCATAGGCGACCATAACGTTGTTTTGGTACATCTTCCCAACATGGGAAAGGTGTCTACCGCGGCGGCGGCTGCTGGACTCCGTTCAATCTACACGAGAGTGAAGCTCGCAGTCTTGGCTGGCATATGCGGCGGAGTTCCTCTTCCCGAAGGACGGAAAGAGATATTCCTGGGAGACGTCGTTATTAGCCAGGCGGTCGTTCAGTATGATCTCGGAAGACAGTATCCTGATAAGTTCATTCGGAAGGATACAACTAGCGATAATCTCGGTCGCCCTAACCAAGACATTCGGTCCCTCCTCGCCAGTGTTCAGGGAACATTTGGTCTGAATCGTCTTCAGCAACATATGCTTCGAACATTGGACCAAATCCAGCATGACAAAGCCGGCCACCAGGCAGGCTACATTCGTCCACCGCCAACTGAAGACATTCTCTTTGAGCCGGCCTATCTCCATCGTCACCACGACCAAATCAACTGTGGATGTGACGACAATGCAGCCTGCGATAAGGCCATGAACGCATTCTGCTCGGACCTTCGGTGTGCCGAGAACAGCGTCTTACGAACAGGACAGCCAGGCTCTTCAAGATCGCAGGATCCTCGTATCTTCATTGGACAAGTCGCTTCGGGAGACACGGTCATGAAGTCCGGAAAGCGCCGCGATGAAGTTGCACGAGAACATAACGTGATTGCTTTCGAGATGGAGGGCGCCGGCGTCTGGGACCAAGTTCCATGTCTGGTCGTCAAAGGGGTATGCGACTACGCGGATAGTCACAAGAACAAAGTGTGGCAACCTTACGCCGCGGCGGCGGCCGCGGCTACAACCAAGGCTCTTCTTGGGCTCTACCCTCGAACTGATAATCCGACGCAACGCTTTGCCGCTAGAGACGATAAACCGCCCCCCGCCACAAACAATTTCAACAATAATGGAACCGGGTCTCAATACAACAACACCGGCAGCGGTCCTCAGTACAACAACACTGGAGGGGGGAACCAATTCAACGGGACCAACATGACCTTTGGCAACTTTACCAGGTAGAGTGTAGTAACATGGAGGCAACGAACTATAGTTCGACGAAGAGACAACTTAGAAAACAGTGTATGTATGGTGCTGGGAACGAAAATATCTAGTACTACAACAGGAAAAGGGGCACAGACAGTAGCACAGCTAGGCATTGGAGTTGGCAAATGTCCACTTTAAAACGCTTTCGTGACCTTTGAGGTGTTTCTATCGAGGTTTTATTAATGATATTATTACTACTGAACTTGAAACTGTGCCAAAAAGCTCGATGTACAAGCCATGCGGTCCATGTCGTCAGAATACTTCTAGAAATGAAGCTGATCCAACCTATCCCGCCCATACGAAGCAGCAATACTTCTACATCCAAACCGACTCAGGAGAATGCGACTGTCCTTGAGCGAACAGCGATCCAGCTAATAAAAAGGCTAATTCCATATTAGAGTAGCTCTGCAGTTAATACATCTGCCTAATAAATGTTAGTCTATGTGAATCACTTTAGGCACCTAACAGATTACCTAACAAAAACGGCTGGAGACTCACCTTAATGTGTTAGGTTGGTCCTCAGGCTCCTCGGATGGACAGTGGCAGCAATAGCAGAATCTGACTCCCATCTCTGTTAGCGTGGCAAGCGTCTGCCGCTCCGCCTCCTCGACCGCCGGATCCACCCTTGCCCGACTTTGCTCGCAGGTCTCGCCTGGGTGTGCCTTTCGTTTGCAGATCATGCAACTTCGATTCTTGCAGCTGCAACGGGCAGTTTTGGCGGTCTCGTTACGTTCGTGATGAGGAATGTATCGTCGGCACAAGGTGTCGTGGCAGTAGATTGCTTTTCGCTCTTGGACGTCGGTTGCTTCGGAAACGAGTCTTTGGTAGCGTGCGCACTCGTGTGGAAGGAGGAGTTCTTCGGCCCACGCATCAACAAACCCTGATTCGCCGCTGTAAGCACAGTAGGGCTCGATGCAATTTGGCTGGAGAAATGGCCGGATAGAGATGGAGGAGCGGAGGTATTTGGTGACGCAGTTGCGACAGAACTTCGTACCACATGGGTGTTCCAGGACACGGGCCGGTCGTAGTTCTGCTTTACAGATGAAGCAAGTGCTGAGAATTACCTGTTGGTCGTGCATGTCGATTTGAAGCATTTTGATTAATCGCTTTACTTTGGTATTCGATGCTCCTCGGTTTGCTGGTCCTTTCTTTGTCTGTGGTACCTCATCGTCAGTTGCTTTTGTTTCACCTTCACTTCTAACTGGGCGTGTCAGTCTTACCTTATTGATCATTCCTTCATCATTTGTCGTTCTTGCTTCGCTCGTCGCCCCTACCACGTCTTGCCTCGCTTCGTCAGCTGCTCTTACCTCGTCTGCGGTTCCTATGCTGGTCGTCGTTTCCTCTGTTGCTGCAGGCAGCGAGGCAGCAGGATCCGCCTCAATGACTTTCCCTGCAGCATTCCGTGCTAACACCCAGTCATCCTGCTCTGGATCGTAAATGAGGCCTGGCGCTCTTCTGACGCCAAATCTCAGACCCCTCCTGGGTCGTCTCCAAGGTGCTTTGTACCAAGAAGGCGTTTTGTGTGACTTCATGAATTTATTCCTCGTGGTATCCCTTTCAGCAAAAGTATTTGTGAAGGCGAAGTTGGAACGGTCACAGGAACGATACATTGATTCTGCAAACTACGTCTAATTATGCCCCTTTCTAAGCGCCTTTCAGGTTAATATAAATTTTGATGATGTATCTCCGATACGGGTTTAGAAATCCAACACTTGGGGGACATTCTTTATGCAACCTGAATGGTAGTAAGTGATGTCTTTTAGAGTTTCACGATGGTATCTTCGTCAGATGCTAGAGTGGGAACCGGATCTCAGGTTTATTTCGCAATCTTCACATCAGGGTACTCGCTCCAGTTTCACGGCACCTCTTTGAGGTTCTAGCACAGCGAAAAATAGCTCCTCACAATGAACATAAACTTTCTGGCGGTAGGTCGTTACTACTGGCTTGGGTTAACCTGTTGCAAGATATGGCCACTAACACTCCAAAATTTGCAGCCATATCTCGATGAATCACCCATTTGATCTATATCTAGCGGGAAAGACTTTCTTTACTCAACGCCTAATTTGTACTCACTACTTGACAGTACCAAAAGCGTGGCTCGTCAAGTCAATTTTCTGACGACCGACTGTTCGCTGCACAGATCACAATGTTTGAGTCGATGTTGTGCAACATGACGTTGAACAAAAGTAAGACGGATGAACTTGAGCATTTCCTCCGTTGCCGTTGTGTCACCAGCTGGTCTAGCAGGTGCCAAAGTAAGGGTCTGAGACAGCCCATAGCCAACGGCCTCTAGCCGTTTTCATGTGAGGTCTCATCAACCCCTCTGTGCACTGCGCCCCAAGTTGCAGAAAGCCTTGACGTAAAGCTACAGGGCTAATAAGCCTGGACAAATCATTTGACCTAAGCCTCACCGATGGGCACATCTATCGTGGGCTGATTTTCGAGATCGGCGCCAGAGCTGAAAGACTAGCTGCATGACCATCTGCCTTTCCCCGCAAACGACCCTTCCCTTGTTTCAAACTTTATTAGTTCAGGTCTTGTTTTGAGATAGGACTAAGCTTGATGTTAATACTTCTCAACATCACGAGACTAGATTACTAGCCCTGGAGACCTAGGGCTTGAGTCCAGACGCATAATTGGCAAGAACTGATATGATGATCGTGTCAATGGGCTGCGGTGATCATCAACTGATTAGGCTGGCACATAAGACTTGAGGCAGGAATGGGCCAATGAGTATTTAGCCAAGACTGGCCTCGACTCTCGTAAAGCATACATCTACTCGCTTGTGTGGTTCAGGGTGAAGATATCCAAATTGTGCTAGGTAACGACACGACCAATGCGAGGGGCTTTCAAAGACATTTGTACGTAAAACATAACGACAGGACCATCGTAAGGTTTGCAGCAGCATGAACTACCATCCAATCAGCAGTAACTAAGCCAGTAGCACAACATTCTATCGACATGCTACAGCCAATCGTGGCCCCTGGACTTCAAGTGT